AGAACGTGTGCTGACGTGTACAAGCAGTTAAACCACGAAAAAGGTGGTTAAAGGTCGTGGGAGAACTGTTTCAAACACGTATGAACGTGGGTGTAACTGCCCCTTTAGCCGCGGCAGTGTCGACTGCCGCGCCCTTTGGCCGCGACAGTGTCGACTGTCGCGCCCTTTAGCCGCGACAGCATCAACTGCCGCGCCTAAAGAGGCAGTTGTTGATCGGCTATTTCTTCAGTTATCGTCTAAGGAGGCTATAAATACCCCCTATGGCCATCATTGACAGAGGCGGAGCATTTCCAGAGCAGATTAGAGCAGAGAGCCTTAAGTTTTGATGAATTAGAGCGAGAAAGAGAGTCTTCCTTCTTCACAAACATCCTCAAGAAGTTTCTGGCGATTCCTAGAGATCTAAGCTCTGACTTGATCTTTAGAAGAGTGAATATCTTACATCGATAAGATATTCGCTTCAAATTCTTACTTCGATAAACGAAGGAAGAATCATTAAACCCCTCACGGTTCAATCAGAATCTGTGATTTGGTGGTCCACGAGTCAAAGCGCTCCCGGCACAGGCAAAGATCCCACGCAAGCAGCGATCCAAACAACGATCCTGCGTTTGTTTCTCAAGAGTTATAATTTTCATTTTGTTGTGTAAGAGAAGTCTTATAAAAAGGCTATTCCTTTTGAATTTATTGTAATCGACCGAATATATAATGAATTCCATGACAAAGTCAACTTTTGACGCAAACATGTATTTTATCATGTTAGAACATATAAATTGGAACCTCGAGCTAGGAAGGCCATATTTGTGGGATTCAAACGTGGTGTTAAGGGATACAAGCTTGGAATCTAGTTAAGAAGAAGATTGTGATGACTAGATATGTCATTTTTGATGAGGCTTTGCTCTTGCAGTCTCCCAGCTCTCATCAGGTGGAGAGCACCCCGACAGAGAATACATCACAGGTAGTGGAGATTGATGCAACTCCACAGTGTTCAGATGGGACTGTATCCATTAGAATGCCGACTGAGGTGACGCCAGGCGAGCACAGTGATGATTTGGAGGATACAGGTACAGCAGAGCAGGATCAGAGATCAATAGCCCAGGTTCAGGATTCTATTGCAGTTTGGAGACCCAGGAGAGACAAACTATTACCAGCGAGGTATGCATATACAGTGGTTGCTTATAAACTTCCAGTGCAGAGTGTCGATGAGATAGTTCCTACTATATTCAGAGAGGCTAAACATAGTTCAGAGGCTGATATGTAGCAAGAAGCAATGCAGGAAGAGATGGAGTCTCTTTAGAAGAATGACACATGGGAGCTTGTCGAGCTTTCAAAGGGGTGAAAGGTAATTGGTTGCAAATGAGTGTATACCAAGAAGGAGGGCATTTAAGACACTCCAGTGAGGTTTAAAACTAGGTTGGTAACGAAGGGTTATGCACAGGAAGAAAGTATTGACTACAATGAGATCTTCTCTTCGGTGGTGAGACACTCTTCGATTTGGATCTTACTAGCTTTGGTGCTATAGTATGGATTATAATTGGATTAGTTGGATATGAAAATAGCTTTTTTCATGGTGATCTTGATGCAAAAATTTATATGACTCGGTCATTGGAGTTTCAAGCTGTAGGGAAGGAAAAATTAGTGTACAGATTGAAGAAATCGCGATACATGTTGAAGCAATCTCCAAGACAATGGTATAGGCGATTCGATGGGTTTATAATCGGCAAGTCGTACATTAGGAGCTAGTTTGATCTTTGCATGTACTATCATAAGTTGCATGGAGGTACGTATATTTATTTGTTGTTTTATGTCGATGACATGTTGGTTGCTTTCATTTCCAGATCAGCCATAAATGAATTGAAGATACAACTTTCGAGTGAGTATGAGATGAAGGATTTGGGTGAAGCAAAGCATATTTTTGGGATGGAGATCGACAGAGACAGAGATAAGGACATAATTTGTTTGACACATGTGGCTTATTTGAAGAAGGTGCTACAGTGATTTAATGTCAGTATGGAGACGAAGCCAGTCAGTATACCTTTGGGAGCCCATTTGAAGCTTTCAACTGATCTTTCACTGAAGTCAGTTGAAGATAGAGAATTGATGTCGAAGACTCCTTTTGCGAGCGTAGTGAGAAGTTTGATATACGCCATGGTATGTACGAGGCCGGATCTATCACAGGCAGTTAGCATGGTTTCATAATACACGCATGACCCAAGTCCGGGTCATTGGGATGTCGTGAGGTGGATTTTGAGATACATTCGAGGTACTCTCAACATTGGTTTGGTGTTTGAATGGGACACTAGTGGTGGGTAGTTGTGTATGGGTTACATCGATTCAGACTATGCTGGAGATTTAGATAAGCGCCGGTTGATGATGGGATACGTGTTCACTTTGACCTGTGTGCCGGTGTGTTGGAAATGCACCTTGTAGTCTACAGTGGCTTTATCGATGGCAGATGCAGAGTACATGGCAATTACAGAGGTTATTAAGGAGACAATTTGGCTTCAAGGACTTTTGGAAGACCTTGGTATTTCACAATGGTCTGTCACTATTGTGATAACATGAGTGCTATCTATTTAGCGAAGAATCAAGTTTTCTATATGAGGAAGAAGCACATCGACGTTCGTTATCACTTTGTTTAGAATGTTCTTGAAGATGGGGGTGTGGAGCTTGTGAAGGTCCACACAAAAGACAATCCAGCAGATATGCTCACGAAGGTGGTCCCTAGCAATAAGTTTGATCATTTGTAGAAGGTTATTGCAGATTCGTGCTTGTTGAGGCCAATCGAGGTCATTTGGATAAACTACGGGCAACTTGATCCCTTGGGAGAGGGGGTACGTAGGCAACCATATTAGTGTAGCCGGATTTGAAGAGACGACATATAGGTGCTCATGTTGGTGTCGGATCAGTTTTGGGAACACTTCGCCGAGGTGGAGAATTGTTAGAAAAATAATGAAGAATCAGCGGCTACAGGAAGTCTCGGGTCAATCGACTGATATCTTGGATCAGTCAACTGATAGTACGCACACCACAGGGTCGGAAAACAAGTGCACTAGATAATCGACCGATATGGTGTGATCGGTCCACCGATGAAGCGCTACCAGTCGGCTGAGGAATGCTCATCAGTCGACCAATAGCGGGTATTGGGCCAGTTTTGTTTCCTAGCCTGTTTTGGTTTGGGTTGTTTATATAAATAGTAACACGTTTTCTAGGGTTCAGAGAGAGATTTAACAGAGAAAAGATGTTGCTTTGAGCACTTTGAGAGGGAGATTATTGTGAGAGAGTGAGATCTTTTGGTTTGGATTATTTTGAGTGTTTGAGAGAGTTGTAACCCATTGTTTTTCTCCTCCATATAGTGAAATCTCCCAATCCTCTCCCCGTGGACGTAGGCAACTTATCGAACCACGTAAATTCTCTGTGTTTGTGATTGGTTTTGTTAGTTCTCTTGTGAATTGTGTTCGTGGTGTTCTTCTCGCATTGTTTATCGACTCGTCGTGGATTGTGCACGCTTCCCCTGGGCGCAACAATTTTGATTGGATTTTATCTCTCATGCAATTCCCCTTTAATCTCTATCACAAACAAACACAATTTTAATTATAGACTTTTCAAAATACATTTCCTACATCTAGACTAACCATAAAGCAAACAACTCATAAGAAAAGAAATTTGGAATATCTCCACTACAAAAAAGTAGTGGAGATGCTACTACTTTTAATCTCAATCGTTAATTATTTTGTATGTAGTTATGATGCAATCTAAATCTAACATTTACTATACCCCCAGTATATTGCACTCATTCCTAATTTGCGCTTAAAGAAAAAAAATCATAACCACTGACTAAATAATTAAATAATTAATAGTTGTGATTATATAGCGGTCCATCAACTATATTTTTGGTAGCGTAGAGGATTCAAATCCTAAGAAAATGGAAGGAAAGATAAAATATGAAAAAGTAAGGTAGAGAACGTGAGGGAAAATATAATATATTATTTGCCAGTTTAGTGAGTGGGATGGAGAAAAGCTTATTTCATCATATTTGAAAGTTCTAGCTAAGAAAAGGAAAGGGAGAATAATAGTATTATAATCAAATCTCAGTTTAGTAGGGTGTAAATTTTTATAGTTAATGGTTGCGATTTGTATTTCATCGCAAATTAGAAAATGAGCACAATTTATGGGGGTATAGCAAGTGTTATTTTAGAATAAATTACAAACGCCCACTCGATAAATCAACGATTGTAATGGGAGTCGTGGTCTCTCCGCTGCTTTTTAGAGGAGAGGACCCGGGTTCAAAAAGAAAGAAAAAATAATAATAAAATCAAGGCAATCCATCTTGCTTGTTAGGCTTCTTACGATCATTAGGAAAAATCATAGATAACGACCCCTTTGTCGAATAAAGGATGCTTCGCTTCCTATGACAAGGGATGTGTTAAAATATCAGTAGCTCTTATCTTAAATTATGAGATATGAGATCTCGGCTAAACCCCAAATTGACACATCAAAACACAAACCAAATCCCACTCCTTCACAGATTCAGTGACACATGTGAGCTCAACTAAGTGGAATTGGTCCCAAACACTTACAATATGATGATCAGGCGTGGGATCCTGTGCCTTAACCAAAATTCCCTCTCACACCTCTACTTACTTTCCTCCCTTTCGTCCTCAAAAGCCAACCTCTCTGTCCTATAATCTCAATAATTTACAGAAAGAAGCCAGACCTCTATATCCCTTGCCAATCTCTCTGTCTTTCTTTTTTTCCTTCTCTGCTCCCAAGATATCTTGATCTTTTCCTTACTAAATGTTACCTTAACTAGGTATTTATAGGCCTCCGTCTCAAAAAGCCTCCCCCTAACCTGATTCTGCAACTGGAGTCCATTTCCCAAGAGCTCTTGACGACACTTTGTCGTTGAGGTCCAATACTCACATCCGCAATTCCCTAGGCAGATCTTGCAGTTATCTTAACAGATTAATTTTTGTCCATTTTATAGATGCGGCGGCTGCTGAACCAAGTGTTAGCTCACCTCGTCCACAACCACCACCTCCACCGCCGCCTCCGCCGCGTGCTGTTGACCAGCACCACCACCTGCCGCCGTCGCCCGATCAAGCAGCGAGTGTCGACACGTAGGGCACGACGAGTGCGAAGCGAGCCATGTGTCAATACACCTCACATGAAACCCATGATTACACTTAGGCAACACCCTCACCTTCTCCCCGTCGGCGAACTCCCCGAGGCAAATCGGGCAGTCTGTCGCCGCTACTGGGATATTCGCCCCCTCTGACCCATAAACCGCCACCGGTATTTGCCTCAAGGCCTTCTTCTTCAGCCCGGTTGCTGCCAGCCTCGCCGCCGTCTCCTCAGCTGTCTCGAACGCGATCCGCCGCCCGCACCGGAGCACGCACCGCACGATCGAGTTGAGGCCGAGCGCGCATATCAATGCGCAAAGCAGCGCCGCGAGGATGATGACCATGTTCGTGTCAAAGTTCGCATCGCCTGCGACGGGACGGTGGCGTCCGTCCCCGCCGTTGGTCGGGGATGGCGGAGGTGGCGCCTCGGGGACCGTGCCCT